TTCAAGCATAACTCCTCTGTTAACTTATATATGTCATTACAGAGGCGTTCGTAACCCGAGGTACCATTGTACATTGCTTCAGATTGAAGGTGTTTTGGCTTGGATAAATAATTAGTTGCATGAGGCCCCACCACTCCAAATTATAAAGATACAACCAAAATACAGACTCAAGGAGAAAGAGCTAAGCATGGAAGTTTTAATCTGGAAAGTAGGAAGATGATTGGAAGCATACTGCTTATATGTCTCATTCATCAGTAAAAAACACACATGCATGGTCATCAGCATTGTTTTAATCCAAAGATGAAAGGTTAGGAAAATATATGAACAGTTTGCTTGATTGTGCATCTGGTTTGGTCTCCAGTACCAGGTCCATCCAGAAGTTAGCACGTCACACCAGCATGATGTTTGAGGTCACTTCACTTTCTGGAAAACCTGGACACAAACCTCGTCCTCTGCTGTCATGCGCTAGAAGGGAAAAGATCAGTAAGGAAGCAGGAGGGTATCGCTACGGTTGAACCTCCGGAAGAAATTGTCATCTGCCAGCCAACAAATAGGTCCAGCTTTTGTTTTCTGTCCATACCCAGCACAAAACAATTGCCGTCAATAGAGATATGGCCGAAATCTCAAGGTGAACGTATCTACTTGGCCCCTTCCAACCCTGCAGACTATAGATGCACTTCTTCATCAATTCACAGTTTTCCAGATATGCAGTTTTCTATGCATATATTAAAAGGGGGTGCTGAAAATAATGTCTCCAGCTACACTTCAGCAGGAAAAAGGGTTTTCAAAATCTGCTTGTATTGCTCAAAACAGATACATTCAGAAAAATGGACACATTTAGAAAAACCTGCATAAAAATGCCCATACTTTTTTGGTGCAGACTGTGAAGCACAAGGCTGTTGTGTCAGATCCCGGGGAATGGGGACGATGCACAGCCAAGTTCAAAGACCTACAAAAAGATCCGTTGTGGATGCTTTTGGGAACCAGCTGCTTTTAAAGTCTACAGAAGTAATCAAATGATCCTAAAACAAGATAGCAGGGGTGTGGGGAAAGAGACAACCAAACGACGCTTCCGTTTTATGCGTGTTGTGCTGAATTTCTACCCCGCTTGGGCCCCCTACCCGCCTTTGAAAGAAGCTGCTTGGTCAAATCTGCAGGTTGCTGCTTCAGCCAGCAAGGACAAACCGGCCACCCATCCATTCCCACCACATGAGGGAGAATCCACTAGGGAGTTGATCAGCTCAAAATACAGTGGTACCTCAGGTCACGAACGCTTCTGTTCACGAACAATTTGGTTCACGAACAGCACCGTTCGCAAAATTTTGCTTCCGTTTGCGAACTCCGCACCGGGTGATAAACAGGACCCGGGGCCATTTCCCCTGCCGTGACACGTGGTCGTGGCTTCCTGTAGGGAGGGGGACTCTCCCTCCAAACAATAGCCGCCTCCCCACCCGCCTTCCTGTCCTCCATGCCTC